GCTAGTGAAAGGCGGCGTACGTACTAACTCACTTAGAGCTTAGATTACAATTGCTAGACTGTCACAATTGTTTTCTCTAGATTATAACTTGAAAATGATAGCCCACAAAATAAGTGGTCAAAGGGTAGTATACACCAAAATTTGTCCTTTTGATTTCAAGTAAAATACTGTAAATCTTGGAGATTATTGATAATAAATTGTGTTGCCTGAGTTACAGGTTCGAATGTCATGATTATTTTATGGTAATCATATTTGTTTCATCATATGTACTATGACTTCACATTTATATTTGGCCCAGATTTTTCTACTCTTAGCTTACATTTAAAATTTTTGGAATTTATCCAAATCAATAATATCAAGACATTCTGGAGCATTATTTAATTTGGTAACTCCAATATAGCTATTTTCCTTTAAATTTGATTCAGAAAGTTGCAACACAAAGGGACTTGTATCCATGCCAGTTGAATTATTTTCAGCCCCAACTTTTGCGCCTAGTAGGTTCTCCTCAGGATCCAAATTATTACTGCTCTTTGTTGCATTAATTCGTTTAACCGCATCACAAGACTTAATGTTCGGCAAGTCGAAGACAGGAAGGAAGCTGGTTGATGCCAAAGATCTGTTCTCTGTTGGGTAGACTGAAATTTGATCATGTAATGAGACAACGGGCCTGAGCAACGAAAGTCTATGAAGATATGGAAATGATTTTCGGGCGGGATTTAAAGGTTTAGGGTAAGCTGTATGACCAGACATGTAGGAAGTATCCTTGTGTTTCGGATTAAGAGCATGAAAGGTATGATTGGCCTCAGATGTCGGTGCACGGGTTTCCAGCTCACTAGGTTGAGAAATTGTATTCCACTCTAAACTAGACACATTGTCTGACATTGGAATTTAAGTGGGGTAAATAAATGTATCAATAACGGTTTTCAGTGTGAATAAAATTATTTTTAGTTATAAGATAACAATTACAAGAATTCCGATTAACTTAGATATATGGCATTAATAAGTAAGGACTAAGGCAATTATAAAGATGAAAATAAAAGATGAACAAATGGTTGCTCCTTTTGCAACCTGCACTAGCATAAGAGAAAGATGCTCCTTCCGGTAGAAACATAGTGGTAATTAAAGCATATTAATGATCATTTTATAAAC